CAGTAACCGGAATGAAATCAAACGAAATTTCAAACAGACACCATGATGACGATGTTGAAAGCAAAACTGAATTCGTCTTAGAGCAGTCAAATCTTCAGTCACCTTCCAGCTTATGTTCTTTTTGATGAACTTGTGCAGGATGACAAAAACATCGATTAGGCCAATGATTCGCAATTCTGCCTTTACAGAGGGCCAATTATATGGTCTCTGACATTATTGCGAGTTATTGCCATTAATGGTAGATGTTGAAGTAATCTGATGCGGAATTTCTTCACGATTACAGCATTATCCTGATGCCCGTTTCAGTCTTTGGATCTGAAGGTGCCCCAGCGTTCGATTGAGATTGGTTGCGAAGAAATGGGATGTTGCCGTTGCCACTGAAGACGTTTCAAAATGTGCGTACGTACCTTAAAAGCACGATTCACGAAAAAATGTTACTGAGTTCCCCTAGGAACACTGATTGACACCCAAAGGTAATAGAAAGGACCCTCTCGCGCCCAAAAACTCGATGGTCAGGGCACAGTGTAAGCCCTGTTCCTGGCTCGCGCGGCCTTCCCGCTCCTCGGTCGATGTCACATCAGGCGAATGTCGAGGCGATACAGATTGCAATATTCGTTCTAGGACCCATACACAATCAGCTGATGTGAGCCAAGTTGTCGGACGATGATTTCCTCCTATTCTTTTGTTCTCTGTTATTCTTGTTGCTGTTGCGACCCCTAATTTAATTATCTATCCTGAGGGGTGAAAAAGGTGGGCTATTTTTGCTGTCACCAGGGTTTTTATGTTAACTTGACTTATGAGTGAATGAATTTTTGCCTACCATGGTCAGTTACTCGCACCAGGACCCACACGTACACACTGACACACATCGTATAGCTCGCTCAAACGCCCCATTCTTCTTCATTTCTGGTCTAACTCTTGTCCTGCCCCCTTTCAACGATTTTTGAAACATTTTTTCACTTTGGAAACACCGATTCACGCAGTTTCTTCGCCTTCATCGCGCTATTTTCCATCCTCCCTTCCATTTTTCGTCATAATCTGGATCTCCCAAAATTACCGTGTTGTACAGGAATGATCAATTCAGTGATCCTATTGATCCAGACAAGCCATGTAATATCCGGAAAAACAGCGATGATGCAACGCCCCTTTTCTTGGATGGACTGCCCGCGATGTAATGCTTTTTGCAACTGAGCTGCTTATTTTCGCAAAGTGAAAAAAGCGTTAGAAAAAGCGTTAGCTACTGAGTCGCTTGCTTACAATGAAAAGGGAAACGAGTGAAAACCCAAAGATAGTACCTCGACTCTGACTATGGAGCTTTCTATTTTTTATTTACCATCCAGAAATGAATTTAATTTGTTAAATCCTAGGATTAACAATCCTTATGAGGGGAGGCTTTCCTCCAGTCCATGTGGGCCCTTTCTCCTTATATCCACTCAAGATAATTACCAAAAAAAAAAACGCTTTCTTATTGCAATATTTCAGATGGATTCTCATAGATTTGTAAGTTTTTTTTTCAGATATTTCCAATATCTAAGCAGTGAGCACAATGCAACCATGTTTTTTTTTTGTTACACATTCTTTTGGACGAAGATCTGCGCCAGCCCGAAAGGACTCCAAAAGTGCGGAAATGTATATGATGGGAGCACATTCATGTTGCATAAGTACATGTATGGAACTGGATAAATAAATGCTCCCTCTGAGCGGTCCTATCCTTACCAAAAAGAACAAAAACTTCCTTGGAGGGCAGTTCCAACAATTATGGGTTGGTCTGTGTAATGTGTAGTGTCTATAGATCAAGAAAACAACGTGTACAGTACACCAGTAATACGATATGTGAGGGTTTACGTCAAGGCGCAAATTGGTACACAAGTCGGGATTGATGTGAAATAAGAGATCAAATGGGAAATGAGAAATATATCAACACGAGTTTATTATGAAGCCCATCTTACGGAGAACCTGTCTCCTCCAGGCCATGAAAAATTGGCGAGAAATCAATGACTGAGTATGATTTACACAACCAACAGCACTAGCCACTCCTGCTTTCCCGGATCGTACGCCATTTCGCTTCCATCGTGACCCCCATGGATCAAGCTAAAGCCCTAGCAGATAGGATTCCCATTTGTGATTCTTAAACAAGGTTGTTATTAACATCCAAAACCAACAAATGAGTATCTAAACACCCTTGTACTTGCAAGTTCAAACCACTTGAGTCGAATTCTGAGAGTTTTCGGAAGTGGAAAATGCTTTCGATCTCTTTGTGATGACTTTAAATAATGAAAAGGTTGTATAGAAGCACCGCCTCTGTTTTTTTTCTATATCTGTCGCATGCTCGAGAAGGATTGGCGGATGGTTGCAAAGGGCATTGACCTTCAGCTTAGAAACTGTTGCAACGGTCTCTTGCATCTGAAGTGATTGAGCGAGAAAATATTCACGAATATATTCAAATATTCACGTTCTATTTTCGGACGGCAAGTCTAATTTAGTCGACCCATACGATAGAGAGTAGTGTCCTCCAGGCTTACCACGTTATCAGGTGAACCAAATGGCCGCGGATTTCCGGCTTTTCTACGGAAGTGGGACCCTTCATTCCAACCAGACCCGTTGGTCCAGAAGTCAGTGATGGCACGTCATCCGCTTTCGAAGGGCTTTTTGCTACGCGGACCTAGTAGCCCCGAAGAGCCCCTAATTCATACTCCTTTGGGGCGACTAGGTCCACGTACGAAAAAGCCCTTCTAAACATGACCCTTTGCAATAGCGATGCAAAGTAATGGTAATGTTATTGAGCGACCACAAAACGCCTCTCATTCGTGGATTATGCTCCACAATTAGCCACCCACCGGTAGCCCAGTTAGTTTTGTCTGATTCCCACGACTCTCTAAAAACGGCCTACGCAGTAATCACTACCTGTGAATTATCGCTTTTTCGTGGGTAGTCGCATTTTGTTAGGTTCCATTTGATTTATTTGAACTATTCAGCTGTCAAATACGCATTTTATTGGAGCAAACTAAGGTACTAGATGTTGTACTTGATATGGTTGGAGATACATGTCCATTCATCAGTTTCTTGATTACTCACTGCTTAATTAGCCTGGATGAAAAACTGATTCTTTTCTGTTTATCTACTTCGTCAGTGATGTAGTGGCAAGTGGCGCACTAACTCACACGCATTGCCACCGGTTCGAATCTCGGATCGACAACCTCCTGGGTCAACCAAACATTCCATCCTTCCTAAATCAGTTAGTTGGTAGCAGGCTCAGGGGGATAAAAGCACTGATTTTACTCCGCCTGACCACTGTCACTGTATAGGCAACATACGCATTAAATACGCCGCTACGATATTGAATGGAAGTCGAAGGAGGGTGCACAACCCTCGGACGGGACTGATTAGTGTCAAAGAACTTCATCCATCATACTACTTCATAATTGCTATATCACCTTAACTAACTTGAAAGGATCTATCCGATCCTGAAACGATCCTCAAAACACATTTGGGTCCTTTCAAGTCTGGTAGCTTGGAAGAACAACAGCTGTTCTCGGTATGCAACATAGTGATACGGTTGCAGCAACAAACCGGTTTGTGAAGCCGTGGCTGCATCGAAGCATTCCCAACATCAACGTTGTTAACTGTGCAGAGAGCTCTTCAAGCTATACTCTCTCTACATATTACTGGGGGATTCAGTGAGTCCTCTGCGAATCACTAAAACATTCTCAAAGCTTACTACTGTGAGAGTATAAAAACAAGTTTTTATAAGACGAAGACACAAACGAAATAGTCGCAAAAATGCACCAACGATATATCCCATATTTTTCAGCAACACAAGAATATTGACCAGCCCAAGTCTATAACAGTGAAGATAAGCTATCCAACTCTAAAATAAAATATATTCAATAATCATGAGATATGGATTGTGCGAACCTATTCAAACCGGGACCCAGGCAGTAATGGAATATTGGCAGTGACCATGAAATCGCAGATGCGATAAGACAAAGATATACTGGATTCCGGCGATTACCTTATGGGTTGAGTTGTAGTCTCAGAACGAATCGCATCCAATGAATGTACCAACTGCAGAGACTATTCGAACAGATTGGTCGGACAACTGAATGTTCTTACAAGGCTTGGCCTTCTTGCAATAAGGAGCTGATGTCTGGAGTTGAGGAGCTATGCAAAGACAAGTTTATTCAAATTGCACTTGTATAATTAGAAGGAATCGAGGCTATTCGTAGGCATAAATGGGTGGGCATGCATTTTGCACCACCAGCTTTTACATCCAACCATTTATGGACGTGGATGCAAAAACTTGCGACTTAAAGTTTCGGATTTTTCAGTGACATTGATGATGATGATAAAGTATTCTCTGCCGAGAGCATCAGCAGATGCGTTTCTTGGGGAATACACGCTACAGTTTAGAATTTGCTTCAACCAATACATGACAACTTTTGCTGTAGTGCGTTACACCTGGGTGCGAGGTGATCGCCGCGACTCGTGGTATCTCATCTCAATCGTCCTAATCAAGAAATCAACGATGTGTCCGTCATAATTTTTACAAAAACAGTATGCCTGCGACAAATTGAAAAGTCTGTTCAATGTTTATTTGAACGAGTGTACTATTTAGTTTTACTACCTCGTAGATGATGAAATGTTAGTCAGTTTTTACGAAACCTGTAAGATATTACATTGTATAGTATACAACACCAACACCGCTAATGCCGTTTAACGAGGTAGTCGTCTAATGCCCTATCTATTACTATGTACAATAACGAATCTAAAACCTGCCTATAAGTTACCTAAAATTAGTGTTATGATTAAAAGCACACAAATCAGTACATACGTTAGTCCTATGGGTCAAAAACACATGCTTGTCCTGGCCTTCCATCATTACGTGAAGTTGGGCAACTTAAAAGGAGGACCAGCATTGAGGCAGCAATGGGATAGGTAAGTAGACAAACGAATTTTCTAAAATGGTTCTAAACGGTAACGATAGTCGGAAACGGAAGGTTTTAAACATGAGTCGCTTTTTGAACTCCCAATATCTTTTCTGCAACTCCAATATAGTAAACTGTTTGAGCGATTCCAAAAAGTGGTGCCATAACCATCATACGGCATGCAGCTCCTTTGAAAAGAGCGCGGGGTCCTTCCATTTGAAGAATTTTACTGGAAAGCAAAACTATGAATGCCATGATACCTGTGAATGGTCGAGTAATATATGTATTTTGAAAGTATCAAGGCTGATAATGATCACGAGATATTCGTCGTCAGAGCATTCATTAGGTGATGGTTTCGAAGGCTCTGGAAATCTACATGTGGTCCTTTTTGAGTATTTCGTAATTTTCCAGAAACAAGTTTCCATTATTCTCAATGTAGTCACAATATATACCCTACTATATATAACGCGCTAATGTCTGCGTTTGTGTGTGTGTGTGTCCGATTGGGAATTCACAACTCCTGTCCCCGTGCACCTAGAGCGTTCAAAGTTGGTAAAAGTACTGGCGGCAATATTGGAACACTTATGGGGGGTGCCGTGACCGAACCCCGCCCACAGGGGGCGCGGTTTGCAAGAATAATCCCTTTGCTAACTTTCATAATACCTGTTCCGTAAACTTGGAGAGTTCACAACAAGTAGGAGAGGTGGAGGCAGGGCGGGAACACTGACAATAGAAGAGGGCTTATTGTTAGAGCAAGATCCACTCATTAAGTTCTAACGTCATCGTTATTTACGATTCAGCCTTGACTCTCTAATATGTTTCATTCGACTAGTACAATTGCTGTAACAAGTGGTAAGGTAAGGTAAGTGCTGTAACAGGAACCGATTAAGGGTACTAAATTATAAGGCAATGAAAATTGGTTTTCTTCTTGCTATCAGGCTACGACCGCTACACAGGCTAAATGAAGGATAACGGTTTCTCTTTGCTCCGATATCGTTCTCGGCAAAACTTATCCGTCCGCTGATAATTTTGTATGCTCATCTAATGATATTCATATGATATTATATGTATTCTCATCTATATTTCCGCAGAAGAAGGAAGCTTCATTCATAAAAACGTTTGATAATTTTGTTACTATGACTCGACAACATTTGTGAGCAACATCCAGGGCTTTGGTCGCATAGCAGCTTAATTGTCTATGAACAATTATTTTCAAGATGAACAGCAACAGATCAAGACTTCTGATCATGGGCATAAGCATCGGCGCATTTTGAATACCATGTGCATGCCCCGTTAGTCCTCTACCAAATTTCGTGATTCGGAAAAAATCATTTTCCCAAATACGGAAGGGCCGATCTGCCGATTATTACAACTCTTTAAGAGAAGAAGAAGGGAAGAATGGGGTCAGCCGGGGACTCGACTGGTAATGTCCTTCAATGTCGACTTAGAGCAATTCCACTTTTACGGAAGCTGCCTGCAACGGCACGCTGATTATCAATTTTCTCATCCAAGCCTTTCTTAATTAAAACTAGTGCGATCTGCTAGTTGAGTAACTGCCTTTGTGGTGTGTAGTGCAATGTACACGCAATATAACAGCCGAGATAATCAGCAGAATACTAGTAGGAAAACTAGAAGGTCGCTCAGAAAGAAGCCAGGAGGATTAGGATCTGGTAACAAAAACAGTAGGATCAAGACGGACTCACATGAAAGCATCTCCTATGTTTTTGTATTTTATTTCATGTTCTCCTTTCTTGATTGTTTGCATTCTTGTTTTGATCACTGCAATTACGACCATCACAAAAGTAAATTACTCAGCGAAAATCTATCTCTCAAAATATTTGCTATAATACTACATGAAATCATATCCTACCATCGAGAGGAGTCACTGCAAATGACGATGAAGCCCCTGCTGCGAGTCCGGCCACAAAAGAGGTCCAAAAAACAGCATCTCCGCTTCCATCGCTTTTACGTGGTCCCTAACACAATCACGCGCTTGAGATAAATTGAACAAATTACTTGTAGAATTGAAAGAAATGTACAAGTATACACACCAGAGAGTCGAGATATGCAAACAATGGAAAATACATCACGGAGAATGTGACGTCTCTAGCGAAAGTAGATCCTAATCCTCTAAAAATAAGAACTTCTGTGACTGCAATGACGCTATGTAACTAGTATTTGAACCCACTTATATAACCCTGCTATCCCTTTCTCTTTCAGCAGCTTGACAGTGAGCTCGAGTGCTGTCACTTTTTTTTGACCGGGTACTATAAAAAGAATTTCACTAGTAAAATGGACGAACTTGATAGAATACATCCGAAAAAGCAACATAAAAGGCAGAAACCCTGCAAAACCTTCCCTCAATGGGTAAGGCATGCGATATCCCCAGCAACAGGGGAAAATGAAGCAAAAGAATCAGAAAAAAAATTCACCGTGATCTACTTGCTGTGAATGTGTCATTACCGATATTTTAGGTTTAACCGTAATTGATCGAAATTCAATTTAACACAATCTCGCTAGCAATTGATGGTTAAAAGGCCCGCATCAGCGCATGGCTAAATACCATGAGTATTTCCCTAGACTCCACTTTAACAGTGGTACTGGAAAAGTTTGCAGTGGCCAGAGTTCCCACAGCTGTATCAAAGTTTCAGCCCCAGCGATTCAGAAGAAGGATCGCGGTATAACCAACACAAGAGCTAGACTGAATCCTATGCGATGTATGTGGCGCCTATCCTCGTAATCTAGCTCACTAAAAAACGACAGTCCAGCGCCATTAAAGCTGGTCAGAGACGCTCGCTGCATAAATAATACAGCCAATACTACACGGCTGATTAGTGTCAACCATTGTAGCCCAGTAGTGTATCATAAAGCTGACTGATTATCCTCGCTACTAGAGAGGCGATGTGCTGATTTACGTAAATGTAGCAGAAAGCTATAAGCTATACTAGTAAATGGAACCATGAATTCAACGTTTAGATCTGTCCAGAAAGAACTTCGTGGTTGCAGCATTGTTGGGTCGTCGAGACCTAATTTCTGACCAGGGAAGGATCTCATGTCGAAGTGGCCAACTGCTGTGAGACTTACACGCTTCGCGTATTTCGCGGTGCCGATTTCGAATCTACCCCCGAATTTACCAAACGGTTCTCTGAACGAAGTTATGAACGTGGTTCCAGGAGAGTGCTCAACATAAACAATCAGACATGACTGGGACGTAAGTGCTCACGTAGGTGATCTGGAGCAGGGGTAAGCGTAACGCTCAGTATGCATGAGACCGTTTTTTTGAGGGATGTGGCTTGCCTTTGCATTATGTGGGATGTTTACCTCGAGGAACCTGTATATGTTGATTTTACTACCGTCAGCGGCATTCTGATACCTGTGGCGACTCGGTCCCCACAGAACCATCCCATATGGCCAAATTTCCTTTGTTCTCCCCGCACACTACATTCACAGAATGACAACTTTCATCACTTCACAAGCAAATCTGATGACCTAAAGTGAAATTCTGGAACAAAGGGGTTTTCACAATGAGAGGGACCAATAAGAAGTTTCGCAATAGGCCGTTTCTTAGAAATCATTAACTAGACCGAATGGAAAGCAGAATCCTGAAGGCGTCTTCAAATCACCTCGATGAGTGCTTAAGAAGTCACCAGAATGTTAAAGCAAAAGGAATATCTCTGAGTTTGGGATTATAGCATTGAAAGTAGACAAGTGACAGTGAGCTGAAAATTGAGTCGTGAATATGCATGCAAAAGTTGAGATCATGGGCTCCTACTACTACGAATGTGGTGATATTTTTGAACCTATAACCAAACGACAAGAAGAAAAAACGTTAAGTGGCTGTATAAGACTCGTGGTACTGAATGCGACCTTTATTACCTTTGCTTGCTTTCGTGAAGATAGCGCGCACTTGACAGCTGCATGATCTTTAGAAGTGCCTAAAAGACCACACCAGCGTCATTTATGTTGGCGAATGCCAACAAAACTCGAAGTGCTTGCTCATAATGTGCGTTATGCTCGCTCGGATCTCAAACTCTATGCAAGGATGAGTTCTGGCTTCGGGACCTCGACAGTAGTTCCTTATCAAAGATTGTTTTAGAAATGTTGGGTTATACAGGATATTCGTGCAAAAAGCCTGGATCATCACAAAGAGCCTCTGACCTAACGATAAAGGGGCATTGACGGAAAGGCAAAACATAACTGTGAAAGAGTCACGATGGTCGTTAAGGGGGTAACGGAACTTCTCCCCTATCGCGGCATTCTCCCTTGCGGCATGCGGCAAATGTCACTGCAATTACCGTACTCACCCCGCCTCTCGCCAATCGATAGGACGCGATATTTTCCTTGACTGGCTTGCTTTTTCATTGGATTTTATCGTTTTTTCGTCTGTTTCTTTTTAGTTTTCATGTTTATTAGATATGATTAATTAAAGTGACTCCTCCTATATAAACGACGATCAAGACCGCACTGGAATTGAAAAGAGCGGTCAGCCAATTCAAATAATTAAAGGACTCCCTACCTCACAAATTGCGCGCTCCAATCTTCCATCGCAATCCTGCGATAGGCGGCGGGTGCGGCGTGTGCGACGCCGTGTTAGGGGTGAAGTTCCCGGACCCGTCGTTAAGGCAGGATGGCTTCAAAGTTCAAGGGGCACCGCACAACGAGGACCGCCGAACACCGTGGCAAGACGAGCTTGTCAAGCGCTGCTCCCTTGTGCTCTACTCGAAAGTCACGACGGCGCACAACATCTTGTCATCGTCGCAACATGGGCCATCGATGGAAGGGATAACTTTCTCTGACAACTCCACAGTCATCTGGCCACATAACGAACACCTGTTTCGACTTGATGTTTTGTTAACAGCTGTGATTTCGCCGCAGCACTCGATGCGAAAGGCTCATGAGGTCGGCGATCATGTACAAAACTCCAGTCTCGGACAGGACTCGGACCCGTAATTGCTTACAGCTTAACGGTTCAGTGCTGATATTGACCGATCGGCTCATCACGTTGTACGTGTGATTGCTGATAAGCTATGGTATATAAGCCATTAAGAAGGCGAGGGCAAGCGGAGTCTCGGTAGTGTAAGGGGTAGAGCAGTTGCCCAAACCCCATTGTTTCATTACACGACATTGGATGCTCTCATGGCGACATTTGCATGATTCTGATCATAAAGCGAAATTCTGACACCCTTTAGATAACACAGTGCAGGCTTCACTACCACAGATCTTCATCTGTTTCATTCAATCACCTTGTCAAGACGGAAAAACGCAACAACCAAGGTCAACATCAAGCCCGTCTGGCAAATTATTTTAGCAACCTACATGTACCTGTTTCTGATAAGACCTAGAGAAAGTGAGAAAAAGTTTCGATCAACAACGGAACAACCTGATGAGTTCACCACTCACCCTTGGACACACCAGTATAAAAAAAACCATCGAATCCCGTGAAGGCACGGAAATCATTTGAACTCACAAATTTCATAATGCATCCATCTAGGCAAAGTGACTTTCACAAGAGACAAACATCAACTGGACGACACCTTTAAAGCCACGAGGAACAATGTACAAATGACATGCAATATTCAATGAACAGTGAGACCTGCAGTTCGACCTTGATCCTGCATTTGTATTTTTAAGAGCTCCATAGGAGTGGTCACTATAATCTGGAACATGCCAGCCATTCCTCCCGCTACCATTCCTCGCCATGCTGAGAGATTCCTATAAATCATCATGGTCACTAGTAACACAGTTGCGCATAATATACTGACAAAAATTTACTTCTCTCCGGGCACTGCCAGATGATGCCGAAAGAAGTCATTAGCCACCAACTTAATGGCTTTTTCAGGAGTGATCAGGACTATGTTGACGGCTGATCCAGAGTACAAGGCACGAATCTGTACACAAAACAAAGATTTCACACTAGTTCAAGTTAAGAACAAGGTTCACAGAGTCAACGAGGTAGCATTTCTATATGGAGTCCATGAATTGAAAAAATTTTAATCAATATGTTTTTGCAATTTCCAATGAGAAGAAGATCCAGTTTCTACTGCGCAAAAATGCCGATCGTACGCCGTGCTTCCGAAAAAAACGCAAAAATTAGACGATTTGCAGCCAATGCAATTCAACATTTTGTCCCAATGGACCGTTTCGAACTACACAAGGTACGTCTCCTAGTCCTAATTTTTACTATGACTTGCAAAGAAGAACGACTTGACGATAAAAAAGAGCATGACAAAACAGAAACAAAAAAGGCCAACCTTCGAAAACGCGGAAATACCACCGGACCTCCATGTCTGCTTTGCGCAGTCAACTCTAAAACAAGTACACTGCAATTCCTGTATCCTCACGCATCCTCAATTTGATTTACCCCGCATTCCGTTTTGATGTATTAGTTCCAGTTAATGAAAGATTTCAACAAGAAAAACAAAGCGCTTCAAACGATAAAAAGTAACATAATCATGAATAGAAAGTGAGGTCCCTTCAATAGTGTAACATTTACGAATCTTACGACTCACATTCCTTTGTACTGGACCTCTCCATTAGGTAGAATAGGTTGGTTCTGTAGTCGAGTCTTGACGAGGTCAATTGGAAACACACAAGTTACACCTACTATACCTGCCAACCCGCCATTCATAATCTTCGGTACATACCTAGAGTATTTACAGATAAGCGATATTAGACAAAAAATAAGTGACTAAACAGAAGACCAGTCGTCGTAACTTACGAAAACTCCTGTCCACCCATGCTCCTGGAATAGATAGTAAATAAATAATGATGATGAAAAGAACGGTTTTCGACATGAAATTGCAGTATTCACGTAAATCACCACGAAGCACAATAGCATAAACAGCACTTTAATTCATCCTTTGTTAGAGTAGTCTATTCAATACAACAAACATTGTAAAAACGGAGCGCTAGTAAGAACCACTCAGAATCAGAGCCATGAGGTTGCACTATTACTGTAATCGTTAATTCGATAATGAAAGACTCGAATCGTTCCAATGTCACAACTATCTTCCGCGTAAAGAAACTGGTAGCCATTCAATTACGACGATTGACATCCTGGGACCAGCAAATGAGTACTTAGCTGACCTTCATATGTATCATTCCAATGTCCTAAAACGATATAGATTGATATAGAATGACATCGACACCGGAAAGGCAACAACAGTAATTGAACATCACACAAGCACTGTGCATTTTGTTACGTCATCAATTTTTAGTAACATTTCGTCCAGACTTATATCTGTATTCACCATCATTACCTACGATTCACCATCAAATTCACTAAAAGAATAACTTTCTGAGGAACTACATAAATCTCCAGAAAGATTGCTGTTCTAGGATGTAGTAGAAAATCAACTACTCATTCCCCTTTGATCCTTGACCACGAAGTTTATCATTTCGCTGTTCGACTGATTTCGCGGACCGCGGGACATGCGAAAACTGGGCGTTGTAGAGTTCTTTTAGAATGAGAGATGAGACATGATTTCTCATTCTAAGATACTTAGCATATTTGTGTAATCTCCCTAGTGGGAGTAACATGGATGCGCACACCAAGAATCAACTGAAAAAGGTGTCGGAAATGGTTGGAATGACTGAATCCAGGTTCCTCATTTCATAGTGATACTAACTCCTTGACTTTAAAAATCCTCACACGGCTCCTAGGAGTGCAGTATGACAGTATGACTTCAAAATGATTTCCTAAGTTGAATTCCTGAAGAATTCCTTGAAATGTCATGCAGGGAACAACAATATGTTCAGCTCCTTTGCTCGATGCCCATAACAGAAATTGTGCAAGACATAAGATAGGTTCAAGACATGAAATGACATAAAAGGACACGATACCGTGCTCTCATAAAAAGATGATGAAAGACGAGCGATCATCCTTCTCATTTTTCGGGCAAGAGAGGCATGTTGCACACTCTCATACGCACTTAACACCTCGAGCCTATAATCGATAACCTGGGACACAAAGAAATCTGAAACAGTAACTGAATTGGATTATTCGCTTTCGACCTGCAAGCATGTGCGTGAAATAGTCTTTGCGAAAGATCTAACGACACTGGTGAGCTTCTTTTGAACTGCCACTGTCTCATGACTCTTTCGTCATTCACCGAGTGAGCGTTCCCCGCTCTACTTCCTATGTTCCCATTCGCTTTCGTTAGCAGAATAATTCTCTTTGGGGGAATTCGATTGTTGTATAACCTCTCAGAAGTTCGTACGGCTAGACCACCATGGAACTTGTAAGAAAAAACATGAGGAGCTCGATGTGCCTATACTGCACAGTGAGAACCTAACGCAGGAACACATCACAATCAAACTTTGTAATCATGCAAACCTGATGCGAATAAATTTCACAGTTTACAAATTGTAAAGAACGGAGTATGAAATGGAGTTCGTATAATAGCCATACAAAGGAATTTTAAAAGGTAAAGACAGAAGCGGTTTTTATAAATCAATGCAATTATTCACCTATGGGAACGCCTCCTTCAAAAGTTCTTTTCGAAATGGTGAGAAACAATTCATCATCCCATTCATTCAGATCATGCAATGCATGGTCGCTACAATTCGTAAACAGAAAGCGATTGGATAAACCACGTATAAACAAACACGAATGAATTGATCAGAAGAATTTATTTAAATTACCAACAATGAATAAAAACCCGTGATCAAGAGGAGGGAGTACAAAAAATAGCAAAACAACACTTGCCGCTGAGAAGAAAGCGTCCCAGCATAGAAGAAGGCGTAAGGAACCCAGCAGGAGAATAAAAAGTTCACTTCAAATCACGATAACAAGAATGCGCTCATTACTCCAGCTTAGCTTCAATAATTAAATAACCCATGCAGGACACAGGCAACCGCAATACCCATTAAAACTTCTATACCTGCTCGGAGGGAGCAGTATAACTAATTCAGTTGTAATTCCTGTCTCATTGAGACAAAATTAAGACCTGCATTCCATAAAAACCTCAAATTATTCATTCACCCATGAAAATTCTTCAATGAGTTTCTTTCAGTCGCTTTCTTACACCCTTGCTAATTTTCTAAATATATGTCAAAAGTTTCCGTCACCCACCAAGGATATTCGCACAGCAATTCACAGTTTAAAGCAATGGGAACCCAAAAGCGCATAGTATCTGCGCATATTTAACGATACCGATTACTTAACAGACAGTCCCGAGTTGAGAAGGGGTTTTTCCCGATGATGCGTAGACGACAGAGAGAGCGGTTTACTGCTCCGTTTGGAGGTATTCAGTAAAAACTGGATCACATTGTTGATTATTCGACTAGTGGCAAATACACCGCCAACAACAGCACACAAACGAACAAAAAGTGCAATGAGTGATCTGAAATAGAAGGCAACGAAGAATCTCATAATTTTAGAAAACGATCATTCTAAAAATGTCGATTCTTAATTTTAAGCAGTGAAAAGACCAGTGCTCCACTCAGCTTGATCATCGAAACGATATATCTCGCAAAGAGAGATCAATCATTTCAATAAACAGGAAGAATGCGACCTTTTGTAGCTACAATTGAACTTACTTTGCTGTTTCCCTAACCTCGATCACGTTTGCACAAAACTCGTACTCGAATAAGATACCACCATGACTATGTTCGCCCTCGCTCAGTTTCTTCTTCTAAACAATATAAGAATATATTACTTCAAGAAAGTATTCAAAAAAGTTTTTTGGGTAGCTAGTGAAATCAACATACCAGGAACGTCACAGAGTACTGATATGCCATCGTATATCTACCAAAGATTCCATGGTGGATTTTTGTCGGCACAACTTTTATGAAGTAGCGATACACATCTTGACCTGAACCATGTATTTTTGAATGATTTAACTATCGAGAGATAGAAAGTATTGTTTCGAATTAAAACGAATTCGTTCTATGCTATCGGTTCAATCAGTTCACGCCGGTGCCTTATCTAGCTATTTCATGATGGGTGTTGACATTGCATGAACCCACATTGTCGCACATTCGTAGATAAGACAACAGAAAGCGAACTGATACAGAAGGTCAGGTCAAGATACGGTCAGGTGAAAACTCACCGCTTTTTGAAATTTGCTCAGCTCCAGCAAGAGGAGCGACCAAACCACTGATTCTTGGCCCAAAATTAAACCTTTCGATCCGATGAGAAATATTCCCTGCTGAAACCATTTCCACATACAATTCGTAGGCATGTATTTAGTTGCAGCGCATAAAACATACAAAACTCACATAATTTACTTCCCTCTAGATGCGCAAACATTCCCATACCCAAGGAAGAACCGATTGATATTGTAACTGTTTCCTCTTTTCCTTTTCTCACTGGAAATTTCCCGTGAACTCGGCATGCGGTACCTGAAACATGAAACAAACATTCCGTTATGCTTGCAAATAATTGAGACTGTCCTTGTACACTTTGCTGACCACTCTGGAGGATTAGTCTTAATGCAGATATGGTTTATTCAAAGTAGTCCGGAATGGTTTCTAAGTCCATGTAATATTAGGTGTCAAGTAAAAATGCGTGATGAATTCCACTCACGTAGAGAATAAGACGAGGACAACTACAGGAGAAGAGCAAAAATTACGCAGAAGGCAAAGATCATCAAAGAAAGCTATGTAATTATTCACTAAAGCTAAAAAAAGAAAAATCTTGGCTTTCTAAATGTACACACCTTCATCCTCACTATTTGAAGAGATAATTTGGAACATTCCCATACCGTTTCCTATCATCACAACCTTAAAAGAGTGGAATAAGTAAAGAAACCATAATACCAGAAAAAGAATTTATTACAAACATACTAGTTGACCGAGTTCTAAAGGGCTTTTCGAGCCTTGGCGATTCTTTCGCTGTTGACTAATGGCTATCGCTTCATCTCTTTGTTTTTGATTCGCGATATGTTCCAAATTTTCTTCGACGTTTGAATCGACATATTGTAACTAGAAACAGGATCAGTACGGTGCCAACAAAATCAAACAAGAGGTTAAGTACATGAACAAAATTTGAGATAGCTAAAATATTTCGAACACCTTTTCAACAAAGACAATGTCAATAAAGTGATGTGAAGGTGTTGGCTAACGAGGCAGGTGATAAGAATTGACAAAAAGACCTACTTCAAGAATGATAAGGGAAAGAGAGATTGTGCACCAAAAAACTGCCTGCGAAACAAGACTTAGACAGGCAAAAGCTGGCACATCGAAAAGTGACAAAGCAACATGCCCTTTCATAACTAAACGTCAAAAAAGCGTAAGAAAAACCTTGATGTGATGAATTTTACCTCTTCAAGACCTCTGAAGCCAGCATCGTTCATAGAAGAGTGAGCATGACGAAGCACAGTCCAATACAGTTGCTCTTCATCGGTAAGCTCAAACCTCAATAATTTCACTGTAAGGAGTATTTTCAGTAATTGCGCTGAATTAATTGATAATCTAACCCCATTGCTTAGAAGTACAAGCAATCTCCAGAAGGTAGTAGCAAAGTTACACCTCTGAACATACCCAACATTTACGAACCGATACAGACCAAGCCTTGAGAGAAAGAAAAGGATAGAGAGAAATTTCAGAAGGAATATTACGCTACACACACAAATGAATGCATGTAGAGAATCGCAAGCATTGCTCTCACTAAGTGCTATTTTTCCGTGCATAAGTTTCCACCGCTACGTCTCATACTAGCTGCGAAGGGAAGAAAACGGTTTGTTCCATTGGAAGTTTTCAGTTCACATGAACTCTCTTTTTCATCACTTATAAAATATGACGAAACGAGCATACTCCCAATTTAAAAGGATATCCCACATTATGTTGAAGGATAAGTTCTTTCCCCCTTTTTTTGTTAATATCTCAATAGCGAACCAGCTTAAAGATTAGAGGTGTGCATCATCACAACCCACTCTTGACGCCAACGCTCAGGCAGTGCATTTCTGACCTGATCCTCTGTGACGACCTTGTGAAAATCGTGGGGCATTGTGACCTTCAGGGCGAGTGATAGCTAGTTGATAAAAGGGTATCATGCACACTGCACGCTCACGTGATGGCGAAATACCAACATCCATTCAAGCGAAATGCGGAAGGATCAAACACGGTGGAAAAATACATGTATCAACCTAATAATATAGATGTTACATCTTCGTGCACATATAAACAAATCTAGCACCACTTCTACAGTAAGAGTAACAGAGAGCATCTAGATACAGCAGAGTTACCGAAGTTCAGACCTTTTTGAAATCTCTCCATCGGAAACGTACCATACTTGCAGAATCATGAAAAAAGGAGCTTTGGGAGCAATTGGAAGTTGATCCATTTCAAACAAAGAGAGTATGCCCGAAATATCAAATTCTGAAGCGCCAGAGAAGCGCACTAAGACATTTACATGTCTCTATATATAGAACTTAAATTTGTGGGCCTGTTAGTTTATATGACTGCGTGTCGGTTCGCGATGAAGAGTGTGGAATGTTACGCGGTGATGAAGCATTCATGAAATAGGGAGTCAACTTATACTGCTTATATTGATCCCTAACAGGTACGAGTAATTTTGTTACTAACAGAGCTTCCTTCGTTTTGTCGATGGATGGATCTTATTTAGTTCTTTCCAATCATAGGATTATCAAACCTTCAGAGAAGAGAAGCGGTAGAGCAAGGAAACTTCTACGTTGGCATATGTTGGTATAAGGCACCATTAACCACTCTGCTGACTGTTGCCATTATAACTCTGATGCGCTATTTACTACAGTTGAATTTGAGCGAAATTTTGAATAAAATGTTATTGATAGCTGTGCACTCAGAAGGGCCTTTGCTCTCGAGTGCTCCACTCTAAAACATTGGTTTTCAGTAATGAAACCCAAGCGGATTCGCGAATACGGAGCATGAAAAATGTTTTTATACTCTTCTTGAGCAAGTCCGTAGATAAGCGGTTGGACATGTGATGCACGCGTCAGCGTGCGTAGCCCAACTGCTATTATGATAAAGAGACATGGGCTAGGTAGTACATCCTAGACAACTATTAAACAGAAAGCAAAATAACTAACCTAGTCGGATCCTTTTTGATAGTTTGTTTTAGAGGGGCAAATAACCCTCCGCTATCGTCCATAGTGCTTAGGACAGCAAGATTATTACATGGCGTTGCCACTACCATGTCTACGTCCAGGGTGGGCATACTGGAAATTATTGAAATAAAAGAAAGCGAGTTCTCTCAATGTCTAATGAATCTCAATGCTGTTTAACTTTGTCGAACAATTCACAGACCAGTTCTGTATCCCATTTTTGTGAAAAGGAAAAAGTAATGACCTCATTCTATCTCTACTAAAGTTTCTAGGAAAAAACTGTAAATGAAGATAAGCATATTACGGTGCTCCAGATGATCTTAAATTTGTTATAGTTCAGCATTAGAGGACAAGACAGCATGATTCACTCATGTAGCGGCTGCTAGAATTACCCGTAAATTCTTTTACATATAAGGAAAGGTCTAAAATGTGTTTCAATGATGGCGCTAACTTTTTGAACAATTGTGATAGGGCCAAAGTGATCTCTTTCTCATGCTCTAGGCTCAACATTTACAAACTGTTAAGAAGCGTATGAACAAAAGAAGAAACTGAGAACAGAGTAAATGATTATCCAAAGTACAATCGATAGAACTCACTCATCTATTGAAGTGTCCACGTCAAAGCGGTATTCATACTCTTTCTTCCCAATGATGTAATGGATTAATTCACCAACAACAAGTAGAAATATGGTAGTGAAACACAAAAGAGAAACTGAAAATAACAAAAATTATGATGAAGTAAATGAATGACCTCTTGGAATTGTTGCTAAGCATTGAGAATTGATAAATTTCTGTGGGCCAACCCAGCTGACTGAGACCCTATTAACTGAAATTGCGTGTAATACTCTACTCACTTAGACCAGATGAAATCCTCTTTTCTTCTTTCACATTGTCAGCCACTTTTTCAAAAATGTCTAGATCCTCGACAATTTTTGAAACACCTGTTCGCCTTTGCCGTAATCCACCTGTGTCGAGGTTCATTGCTGGAAAACCATGAACGAAACAATAGGCAGCAACGACATCCATTTCTAGCGCGTAGAAAAACATCGAAAGAAAACTTAGCCAATCTCAGAGCTTCATAAAAATGAAATCGAAAACGGAAACTTGATTCAAATGCAAATTCTTTTCCGTTAAAGTTATACAGCAGCATGAAATCCATTGAGGACCAGACAAGCGGAGCTTATTTTCTTCAACGTACATTCTAACTTTGCGGTCAATGTTACCGTAAAAAAGAAGGTCACCACTACTTTGGTAAAAATTTCTATGCCAGCAAAATTTTGTTAAATAATGTTTTGTTAGCCACAGCTCGCTTCATACGCTCCAAAGATTAGAATAATGAAAGGTGATATAATGGGGAGGGTATTTCGCCTTAGAGCATGGTTTCTTCTCAGGACAAGAAGAAACTTGAGGCTTGACCAGAACCCCACACATCTTGAAAGGCTGCAAGCGAATATCAGCTGCGGCGAGACCTTAAGCTATACGGCGAAAGGAGACCACTTGAGTCAACCTTGAGCAGAATAGTCTGAGAAAATGCCATCGATATCTCCAAGACTACAGCATTCCACCTTCGTTTTTGAAGAAGGAGGACGAAACTCTTACAACGGACCCGTACCGATCCACGACACACGTGCGAAAACCAAAATACCCCACTGGCGGAACAGCACCTCGGATCCTTCCTTCGGAGTGAGAGTTGCGATTGCGAGCATGAAAAGCGGCACTACTCGGGTCTCGACAAGATCTCAGCCGACCTACTCCGTGCAGGGGGCTACGAACTTCATGCATCACATGACATCCAACCTCCAGAAGGAGAAGATCCCCAACTAGCATAGGAACCCCCAGATGGTCATTCTTCACAAGAAGGGAGACCGGGATGATCTTCACAACTACCGCCCAATAAGATTGTTAAGTGTGCTTTACAAGCTGTTCACGAAGATCATCCTGACCCGCATATCGCGAACAATAGATGAAGCTCAACCTGTAGAGCAGGCCGGGTTCCGAAGTCCAGCTGCTTAGACCACATCCAAGCGGTTGCAATGGTCATCGAAGTGTGCTGAGAGTTCCGAATGCCTCTTGTTCTAACCTTGTCGACCATGAAAAGCTTTTGACAGCGTCCTGTCAGGAACCGAATGCGGCCCTGTCAGGACTGGTCGATCAAGGATTGGACCCTCCCTGCATAAGAATAGTCGCTGACTGCAGCAGCCGCTGCAGCGCCAATCTGTTCCAACGACCTCTCCCATAGGGAAGGGTGTGAGAGAAGGCGACACTTTCTCGCCGAAGCTATGCACAGCCGCGCTGCAGTAGGTTATGAAGTCGCTCGACTGGGACGAAAAGGGCATTCGTGTGGAGGGAAGGTTCCTCTCAAATCTCCGCTTTGTGGAGGACATCGGTCACTTCTCAAGCAGCATTGCGAAAGCTGAGACTATGCCTACTGAGCCTAATAGAGCGGGAAAGAAGGTAGGGCTGCGGATAAACCAGACAAAGACCCAGCTCATGAAGAATGCTTGGAATGACAACGGTCAGATTAAGAACGATGGTGCACCCATCAAGAAGACCTCTTCCTACGTTTATCTCAGGCGTTCCATGAATATGGATAACGACATGAGGGAAGAAGTTGTGAGACTTCAGGAAGTAGCGTGAGCAGCCTTCGCACCTCTGAAAGAGGTCACCAACCATCTAGCTGACCCGGAACTTCGCGCTAACCTGTTCCATTTCACACATCTTCATGCGTTCTTCAAGTTTACGGGTCGGAGTCTTGGGTGACCAATTCATCCACGTCGAGAGTTAGAGCAAAGTCACAGGGCACTCGAGCGATGTCTTTTGAGGTTCAACCGGCTCAATCAATATCGAGCCGGACTCCGCAGCTCCAATATGCGCAGAATGTCTCGACTCAGAAGAGAAGAGAAGAGATGATGACAGATGGACAAAAAGAACAGTCGACTGGGTTCCCATAAGATCTTCACGATCTAAGGGTAGGCCTGCTGCGATATGAGAGGATGTGCTTGTCGATCACCTGAAACAGCTGCGAGAGCAACTGAACGAGTCCTTTTATCGCCATATTCGTCGAATTCTCAGCCTACCGGAGAATGGTTTGTTGCTGGTGCTCGCACGTGGTGAAGACTGGCCGTATAAGAAAGTATAAATTGATCTGGCTGATGTCCGTATCATTTGGCAATTTAGGCAAAGTGACCTTTATCGAAAAAAGTGAAGGGCAAATTGTCTATGCTGTTGAGATGGAACTCGTTGTTGGTTTACAAGTTACGGTCTGAGTAGTGCACAGTTTCCATTTTGGGTCTTTTCCTAGAGTGCCCTGGAACGTGAGTTTTGGTGAAATACATGGGTGGTTGTATCATTTGGGAACGCAGTGTATTGCAAACAGGAACGAAAAAAATTCACGAGCTTGTTCGAAAAACCATTGTGGTCATATTCGACTTTCCACAACCAACGTCTATCCCATTCGTCAATAGCAGAAACTTCATGGTTCCCCTTTGGTGAGCTGCATGATGACAGTATAGGACTTCAAAAATTCGTTGAGATGCTATTGGTCCGGGTGCCTTTCCCGGCTTCATCTGAATTATAGCGTATTATATCTCAAATTCCTATATCCGCGGAGCTACCTCTTGTGTCTAGTAGGGATACGGGAAACCGATATCGTCGAGCGGAAGATTCGTGCAGTAGACGGCGGCAATCTCCTCGACCTCCATTATCGATGTCTGCAGTCTGCCCATCACATCCCTCATAACCGTGATGACCGAGCGAGGATAATTAATGTCCTTACGACATCGCCTAAGGCTCGATTCCGCTTCTGCTGTTTCCCTTACCGAGTGTTTTTGTATCGTTGAATCGACTCTCTCACAGCGATGCGGCACGCTTTATTGATCGAAGTACGTTCCTGTGGTGCGGATGCAGAGTTACGGTAAACGGCAGCCCATCGATCCTGCTCTTCGAGTTCATTTTTGCTGAGACAGAGGATGCTGTTGCGCAGAGTAATATCAAGTCATAATCTTGGGACAGGTCCTGTGCCTCCTACTACGTATGCTGAGCAGCGACTACCTTCAAGGCTCTTGTGCTGTACTGCCGTAGTTGTATGGGAGGAGGTCGAAAGTGATCTCGTCTTCGAAGTTTCGTTCGCAGGCGTACTTCTGCTCTCACAAGTCCATGGTCGCTTCGGGTGCTGAATGCATCTACCAGCTCTACCATGTCCAACGTCGGCCCTCGCTTTACACGAAGAAACTGCTTCCGTGGAGTAGGTTGCATGTCTCTGGAGAGTCCATCAAATGTTCTCCGTTTTCATTCGATTCTCCGATTCCGTGTGGTACAATACGTGCTGCCGTGCGTTTTTGCTCATGGATGATTGCGTTAAAGTCTCTGACAACGTATTTGCAGTATGGTGGCCGTTCTTTGTACGCTCATGCAGTTCCTTATATTTAGTGTCCCTTTCTCCGTCGGTTGTTGTTAACGTTGGCGCATAGCAGTTAGTAATGCTGACGGTGGTGCGTTGTCGATACGTAGAATGGCCAGTCGCGTACCGAGTACCTTGGTTGAGTCGACGAGATGTTTGATCCGATGATGGACTAGAAATTCGACGCCTCCGGCTTTTCTTCCATCAGCTTTCGTTCCCAGGGAGAATATGTGACTTTCGTTGTTCTTCTTGATGACTGTTCAATTGTGCTTCGTCTCTTAAAGGGCAATGACGTCAAAGCTAAGCTCCTTGCTGCCCTCCTTCATAATGGTATGATCCGCCTTTGAGGTAATGGTTCGGCAGTTGTAGGTGCAAATCCGTAGGTAGTCTCCAGGCCTAGAAAGCTTTTCGTCCTGTACAAATCTTGCGGCAATTTTGGTCAACAGGTCCATTCAGGCCACCGTTTGCTCCAGTGCACTAAGGCCTTGTGCTTCCATCTCGCCTCCTCCGGGACATCTCTAGGTGTGCGTTGTAGCTGATATACGATACTCGGGTAGCTAGCCCATTGAGGCAGTGACTAAATCCACTGTTAGCCAGCATTTCTTCCGTTTCATGCCCTCGCCGCTTTGAAGCCAGGGTAGGATTCAGGGGAGAGGTGGGGGGGGGGGGGGGGGGTGTGGATGTCAGGACTAATTGTGAAAAACGTAAGAGGAAAGGAAGCGGAGTGGGATTTGCACACCGCTCGCTACCCACACAAATGTTCATTCACATAACTGGTTTTTTAGGATTTTTTAGCAGTCCATCCACGGAGATAAATTTCGTTCGAAACTCCCCTACAAGAGCCAATTCACCCCGTCATAATTATATGGTTTTTGCCGACTCGAAAGTCCTTATTGTTAGTGAGTGCTTTCAAAGCTCAACAATGTGCGTTGTTTCATCGACCGACGACGTTGCTGGCCACGTGCTGACCAAACTTTTTGCTCCACGGCGCGCTGTTGTCAAGCAAAATTTGTGAGAAGTAGATGGAGAAGCAGTCTCTGGCTGCTTTCATACTTCTACGGCGTGCTGGACAGGTGTTAACAACGCTGGATTCGATCGATACCGCAAGACGAGATGATGAAATAAGTCACCCCTTGTGTTGCGGTATCGATTGTTATGCGTCGCTGCCAGAACCCTTCTAGAACCGCTGTCGCGGCACGCACGCGACCGCCGTCGCACCACGTACGCGACGGCGGACGGACGGACGGACGTCGAAGTCTGGCCGCTTCCGGACCTCGACTACGTGCTGCGACGGCGGTCTCTAGAGTAGTGTTGGGGGGACGCACGATTCGTGCGATTCTGAGTGCGCGCGGCGGAATTCGTGATGTTTTGAACGACTCCGACGCCTATTATTGGGGCACAAACTCGAAGTAGAATAGTTGGGTATGGTCACCTGATCCTACTAATCCACTCTACTTCAAGTTTGTGCTCCAATAGTAGGCGTCAGAGTCGTCTGAATCATCACGAATTCCGCCGCGCAATTTGCCGCNCGCACCCAGAATCGCACGAATCGGCACACACCCGTAGTGTTGACAGCACTGCACGTGCTCTAGTGTTGTCAACGACGGTCAGGCGCCGCCGTCGCAGCACGTACGCGTCGGACGGACGGACGGACGGTCGGATGAGTGGTTGAGATCTGAAAGCAGCCTCTGGAAGCAACCTCTGCGTGTCGTGTCGACCAGCTGATGGAGGGCGTGTCCGCTCGTTGTCCGTACTCCCCTCTAAAGCACTTTCTTCTCAAAAGTAGGCATTTGAACGGGTGTGAGTCGAGGAAATACTAAAAAGAAAGCCTTTCATCTATTTATGAAGCCATCGTACTTACAATTAGAGCAGATGAACAAAGAGAATATGCGGAAAATAAAAATGTGTAGTAGCTCGGCCTACCTTGAGCGGAAAGCTGGAAACTCGCACACCCGGTGCTTCTGCTTCAGGAAAAGGTGAAGAACATCTGGTAGCTCTATTTCTGCCTTTTCGGTCACATTAAGGATCGCTTGTTCTTTGGATCAAGCAGGACTCAATCCGACTTAAAATCTGGTAGTTTTCTTTATGGACAGAGATTGAACAGAGACAACATTATCTAACTCTATTCATGAATACGATAAGCACGAAGCAATAAACACTACAAAAGCAGTTTTCAATAAGCTACGTGGCATAAAACTACTGAAGCTGTCATTTGCACCAGTACCAAAATTAAAACGCGTGTCGCCAGCCCTCTTCCCCGAACTTCTTAAAAACAAGTTGCTCTCTTCCATGAGGTCATCCAAATAATGGTACAAATAAGGAATCCCTTGTCACCGGCTTGGACTATGAAAAAAGTCGTTACACTCAAACCCGAGGGCCTGAAAGGAAAACTAAGAAAACCCTTGCCGATTCTGTACGATCACCTTACACGTCCTATATGGGGGAGGTTCGATCCGTGCGATTCCGGGCGGCAAATTGCGCGGCGAAACTCGCGATGATTCAAACAATTCCTGCGCTTATCATTGGGGCACAATCTTGAAGTAGAGTACTTTAGTAGGGTCGGACAATCCTACTAACCTACTTTACTTCAAATTTAGGCCCCAATGGCAAACACTGCAGTCGTCCAAATCGCACCGAATTTCGCCGCGCATACTGCCGTGCGCACCCAGAATCGCACGGATCGACACACACCCACCTGTACATATAAGGGCATTACGTCGATTATGTGTAGATATGCAAATATTCTTTCATATTTCCCTGCTCAAGTAAAGCCAACTGTTCCTCCTCCAAACTTATTGATCCGGATACGATCTAATTTTTTCGATCAGCTCTGGTAGCTCTACAGAGATATGTGAGTTTTGTTTGGAGAAATCAGAATTGAAAATGTACTCCCCTCTCCTCGTTTTCAGTAAACTACATGTATCCATAGGTCGGTCGGTTTCGATTTACTGCCGTCGCTTCGCTGTACTCTAGACGGTGGAGCGAGGCAAGCACGGTAGTTCGAACTGGTGTCCGATGCTGCGCTTCCATTTTGCTCTTCTCCATTCATTCAAAATCTCGAAACAATCTGTCCCACCACATATTTCGCCTTATCACTTCTGACTCCCAAGTTCCTTTTCTATTCATTATTGCATTTTCATTTCACGCGTTCCTGGTAGTACAGCTCCTTCCACACATGTTTACCTACTATCTATACTTTACTTGGTCGTTTGGAGCTATAGCCGAGAATTTGCTTGGCAGCAGTCCATTTTTTGAAGTGTCCTGGAAGTTCAGATGGCGCTGTTATGTAAGGAGATTAAACACTTGTATGTGGCTGCATATCACATAAGTCTTTCCCTTTTTCGTTTATTCCATCGCTAAATGGCTGAGCTACTTCTCCATAATCGACAACTCCTACTTTACCAATCCGAATCCGGCCACTCCGCTGCTAAAGCCTACAGATACTCGTGTCAAGCATTCGGAGCTTAGGTCACCCTCATCACCTGGTTCCAATGCTAGAAAGCCGGATACAAGCAGCCCGAACATGAACCATGGCCATGGCCATGGTTCATGTTCAGGCTGCGACCGATGACCATGGCTCTGTTCGCCGATCGTGTTGTCGAGAAATCTTCGTATATTCTATGCATATATGTGCAAGTAAGGAGTGTTTTGAAGAAGACTTACCATGGCACTGTAACGCATCAATGTTTTTTATCAGTCAAAGTACATGAGGTTAGAGATCAACAAAAATATACCGAGGGTATAAATTTGTTTCAAAAACAATTCAGCCTTTATGTGTAATTCCATTTTTCTCATCCGTAGATTCCATTCATTTGACTGAAGGGACCACAAGGAACGGCTATAGCTGTAAAAAGTAAAGTCATTGTGCGATGGGCTAGTACCAAGTGTTATGAAAAGTATGCCAATGGAGCGCCTGCACTTCGAAATAACCTTGTAGGTTGAAACTTTCGAGAAAAACGCGGGCTCAAGTAGCAAAGGCGAAGGTATACCATTCAAGAAAGTCGTATAGTGGAAATGATGGTCCTGCAATTGGGTGGCTAAGATTGCAAGGTAATCAGGTGCACTCATGGCCCTGGATCATGGCCAATGAGATCGTATTTATCCTGACTGTTCGAGCTATTATTTTTTGAAAATTCCATTATCGGTCTTCTTGAAACCTGGGCTAATTACATAATCGTTTTCACTGTTTTGCCTAGTGTTTTGCTGTTTTTTAATGATCGAACGGCTTTATTAGGTCGACGTTTCGACTGATTTGTCGTCTTCCAGGACCGTATGTAGTCTGGAGCTGCTGATCTGCGGCTTCCCCAACCAAACGCCCTAACGCACTAGGCCAGTTGCAACAAATCCCAGAAGCTCGAACACCAAAACATCCCAGCCAACAAACCGACCTTCTACGGTCCCACCAGCGTTGTCGTTCCGCTCTATGTAATTTGTCTGTCTGTTGCAACTGGCCTAACGCGTTTCGGCGCTTGGTCGGGTAAGCCGCAGATCAGCAGCTCCGAACTAATTTCAGATCCATGAAGATGACGAGTTAGTCGAAACGTCGACCTAATAAAGAGGTTCGATCTCAATAATTCTGTACGGCAGAATAGTGAAAAAGATTCTTTTGAAGGCTGGTTGAATGATTAACTATCATTTTGAACGGTTTCGCGATTTCCTGGAAAAGGATACTTCCACTCATTCCAATATGATTGATCTTAGAAAAAATAGCTTGCCCTGTGAATTTTTGTGCTAAAGTTCACGTAAAGTAAAACGTCAAACTGTAATACACTTATAAGTAATATATATATACATATACATGTATAATGTTTGATTTCTTTTCCCGTTGGCATCCCAGATAGATGTATTGCGGTGA